TGGAAAAGTGGCTCATGCTCGAGAAGTGGTTGTTCCGAATGAGGAAGGAGAGCGGGTCTGCATCAGGTTGGAAATAGAAGACAACCCTGAAAGGCCACACAGACGGCTCTACTCCAAGACGCCGCCGGAAGGCGTCATGAGATTACCACCAACCATTGATTGGGGACGCTCCGCTTCCACCTCCTGACGAACCACCACCGGAAGATTCAGAACCATATGAACCGAGCGAACCGCTCCAAGCAGGCGACATGCCTGAGGAACTGGATTTGCTTTTTGAGGAACTAAACCGAGAAGATCCGGAACCTCCGGAAGAGATTGACAGCATTGTGCCGGAAATCTCAGAAATGAACATGGAGCCTGCTGAAGTGTCAGCAGGGGGGGAGCCCGGTAACCTTTTCAAAAGAGGTGAAAAATCAAGGTTTCAAAGGTTTCTGCACAAGATGGTCCAGACTCGGGGGAGAAACACCTGGAAAGAAGTCCAACTTCGGGGGAGTTCATCGTCAGAAACGTTAGCTTGGCACACCTGCTGAAGGTCAAAGAAGATCAACACCTGGAGTTGTGGAAACCATCAAGGAAGAACTGTCAAATGTTCCGGTGGATCCCACGAATGGTTTCATACAGGGACGAGTCCTACGACTTCTGCAAGAACATCGTGAAGATTTGGAAGAAGAACTGGAAGCGATAACAACTGCAAAGGTTGAGGAGGAAAGACGAGAGTGTGCCAGCTCAGGGTCTGTTCAGCACAAGCTGATGGTAGCGGTGGCGAAGAACAACTTCAAACTGTTACAGTCCCCCTTCACAAGGTGAGGATGGAAAAAGAGAAGTGGTACGACTCGATGCTCGCCGAATACAAATCCTTGACTGCAGAAACAAAGGCTATCCGACCAGTCAAAAGATCCGAGATTGACCCTGAAGCCGAATTGGTGCCGGGAAGTTGCTCTGTGTGATCAAGGCTGGCGGGAGGTACAAATGTCGCGCTGTGATCTGCGGCAACTTAGCATCACCAGAAGCGGATCCCATGCCATCCTCTCTGTTGTATGCCAGCGGAGCGGACGGGGTTCTGAGAAGGTGTGCTTTGAGAAAAGCGGCTCATCACCAGTGGGATGTATCCACGACGGACATCAAGACCGCCTTTCTACTAGCTACTCGGCCGGTGGAACAAGGGGCCAAAACCGTGGCGGTGGTTCCGCCCAGGATCATGACTGATTTTGGGATTACCCAACCGGATGAAGTCTGGCTTGTTGACAAGGCCCTGTATGGGTTTCAATCCAGTCCTGCCCACTGGGCGGTGAAACAATGCGGCGGTTCACATGGCAGGGAGATGCAAGCCCGCGGGAGGTGCAGAAGGAGTACAAGCTGGAACAAACACCGGAGGGAAATCTGTGGAGAATCCTGTGTAAAGGTGGTGACGCCCCAGGAGAAGAAGTACGTCCTGACGTCCTGACGGATATCGGCAAGTACGTATGGTGGTCGTCTATGTGGACGATCTTATATGCTTCTTGCTGAACCCCACGCCAAGCACAGCTTCATGAAGAGGCTGAAGGAAGAATGGACTTGCTCCACTCCTGCAGAAGTTGATCAGCAAGGCTGGGTTCGATTCTGTGGGTTCGAGCTCCAATGGAGCGGCCAAGGGGATCACAAGAAGTTGAAGGTGGGACAGCAGTCCTACACTCGGGATCTGTTGAATCGACATCAAGTAGAACACCCAAGACCGGTTCCGATGATGAAAGCGGATGCTGAACTTCCAGAAGAAGAACAACCAGCAATCGAAAACATACGACAAGCTCAAACAGTAGTGGGTGAGTTGTTGTGGTTATCCATAAGAACGCAAGGCCGGATATCAGTTTCGCCGTCAGCCAATTGGGAAGACAGGTGAACAAGCGGCCCAAATGGGTGGAGAAAACCGCACAACAGGCGTTTGGGTACCTGAAGGGAACCGAAACGCAATATCTCAGCTATGTGGTTTGCACGAGTGACGATCGGGGTCCCGAAGATGATCTACCATTTCACCCGGAGATGCAACAAGTTGAAATGTTCTCGGACATTTCATGTGCCCCTGCGGGCGAAAGATCACTGCAGGGTATCCTAAGTTTCTATGGTGGAGGGTTGGTTCAATGGGAAGCCAGCCGTCAAGCGTTTGTGGTGTTGAGCACCGCCGAAGGGGAACTGATGTCCTATTTGGAGTCCATGGTCATGGGAGACTCTTTGGCGTCTCTCATAGAGGTCGTGGAAGGACGAAAAATCGGGCAGAAGATCATCTATTATCCGGAGACAACACGGCTGCGATAGCCATCTTGGAAAATCCTGACGGTCCGTGGAGGACTCGGCACTTGCAGTTGCGAGCAACAGCCCTAAGGGAACGGTTAAAGTATGGTAGTTGGATCATCCGTCACCTTCCGGGGGTAAAACTTGTTGCCGATTTTCTGACGAAGATCATCGCCGTGAAACCTAGCTGGGAAAGGTTCTGGAGGTTCGTCAATCACCAAGGTTCCGGGGTTCCAAACGAGGAACCAACACAATGGGGTCTAAACGTCGTGAAGAACAACCTCTGGGAGAAGAACATAACCCGGAAGGACCAAACCAGGAGACTTATCCTCCTGGGACAACTACCGCGGCTTCGCTGGTCGGTGTGTATCAGTGGTGAAAAAGGTGGTCCGTCTGGCCGAGAAACATCCAGAACTAGCCGATTTCCGGCATGAAGCCATGAGCACTGCCATTGGAAGTTCCATTTGGAGTCGGTCTTACCGTTTTTGGAGAAGAAAAACATCCCTGGACAAGAAGATCGCCCTGAAGAAGAAGAACCAAGGGGTATCCTAAAACTGGGTAATAGGTCCAAAGGGGGTAACTCAAAACCAAAAAGGGTTCATTTTTGGGATGAAAGTCCACCAATTTTGAAAGTTTTGCGGGTACAAGAGAGCACAGTGCGGGAAAAGTAGAACCCTTCCCTAAGACCATCCAGGGCAGTGGAAAAGGGAAACGGTGGGACTTGGATTTTTCCAGGTCCAAGCGAAAAGACCATCGAGCTGCCGAAGTTGTACCAAGGTCGGGTTCCACAGAGCCGAGGGATCTGGTTGTCATCCTGGTGTGGGAAGTTTTCCGATGGCTCATGGGCCACTTGACACTCTTGGTGGCTCCCCTGTTCAATCGACAAATGGTTGAACAAGCTGAACTGATGGTGAAGTTGGCCTTGAAAGATCAAGGAAAAGATGTACGTGGGGAAGAAGAACATTCCACAGCGGCGCTAATTGTAGCAGGGAAAGATGAGCCTCAGGAAGAAGAAACACGTCCGGGAGAAGATCATCAATCAGAGAAAAAGAGAAAAACCGAAGAGAGGGATGCGGATCGAGCCCACGACAAAAGAGCAGGTAGAAGAAGAGACCGTCGAGACGGAGTGAAACAAGGCGATCAAGGTCGCCACGCAACGAATCGGAATCAAGCACAAGGCGATCAGAAAGAAAAAGAAGTCCAGATCCTACTGCAACCGAATCGCAAAGATCGGGGAGGGTCGAAAAAGGACCAATAGCTCCGCTACCAGGAGGAATGGGGGCTCCTAAGGTTGCCTTCCGATGAGGAAGGCTGGGGGGAAGGAGCAGAGGGAAGGAGAAGGGGCTCCGAAGGCAGCGGCCTATTATGAAGTGGATGGAGGAGAATGGTATTGGTGGGATGGCGCTTGGGGAGATAAGTGGGAGCCGAAAAAGAAAAAGAAGAAGAAGAAGCACACGGAAGCTGAATGGGAACAGTGGTACGAGGAGCACCCGAAGGGAGACACGGGCACTGAGTCTTCCAAGACACCGAGGAAACCGGCAGAGCCGGAGACTCCACCGACCCAAAGACCAAGGATTCGTCCCCGGAGAAGACTTAATTCGACGTCCCGAAAATGCAGCCCAATGGACAGTCCATATATGCCTGAGGTGGTCATGCGTGAGGTGGAATACGTCATCTCGGGACAGGACACAGCCTGGATGACGAAGCCGCCGGCCGTAAAAGGCTTCGAAAGCAGGCCGTTGACATGTGGGTGGTGCCAGGTGTTGGCGAATATGGGCGAATCGTCACACGTGTCCACTACAAGTGGAGACAGAATGCGTTTCATCCAGATCACCCCACCTTACCAAAAAGGGTCGACCAGCTAGATCCTTATCGGGTCACGTTTTTGTGGAATACCCTGGACACCGAAGAGCGAAAAATTATCCTGGGTTATCACTGGGAGACCAATTGGGTTGAGGATAAATAGGTGGGATACACCGTTTTCTTGGTCAAACATGACCCAAGGGATGTGGTGAAGAACCCACCTAAAAAGGAATAGATCGCTAGAAAAAGAACATCGGTGGCTTGGGAAAAAGATCATCAAGACCCACAAGGAAAAGATCATTAGCTGCCGGTGGACAAGATCAGCACAGGGAAAAGATTATCAGCTTTTGGACCCAAAGAACACGTTGGGCGCTCTTCGAGTGCGGGGAATTTAAAAACCTACGAAGTTAGGGCTGTAGTTTTTCAATTTTTGGAGTCAACCCGAAGTGGAACTCCACGGGACCAATGGTTGAAGGGGGAACCAACACCAGCCTGGGACCATGGCACACGAGGGTCTTCGCCCTTCTGGCTGGGGGAAGGGCGAGTTCCCAGTGGAAACGTGGCCACCCTTGAACTTGTTGCTTTTGGTGTTGGGGAACCTGGATTCCTGCAAGCAGGAAGGGGAGTGCGGTTGGGAAACCAGCACAGAGTACCACTGCACCCCCACTAAGGACTTTTTAAAAGTTTTCACAGTCGTTGAGACGTCCCGACTGTTGCAACTATGGCTCACGCCATTCAATTGGCTCAAGGGCCAATCAACTGACTGGCTCAAGATCACCGAGCCCAACTTGGAGCAAAAAGGTGCAGCGGCATCTGCCTCTTGGTGGGGACCTCCGGGGAGGGTCTCGGTCACACTGTAGAACCCGTGGATATATTTTGATTTTTGATGCCAATGGATGCTAAACTATTAGCATTGCCCTATGCCAAGTGGCATTGTTGAAGCTTTCGCGCTGGGCGTACGCTCTCATCTCCAGCTCCTGAACTTTGTGCTGCAGTTGGGTTGGAAATTCATAGGCCTGTGTTGTTGGATTCTCCTCCAGCTCTGGAAGCAAACCTGCAAATTGTACTCGTATAATCTTGTATAAGCCTCCAACCCTGCACATCCCGGGTGGAATTCGCTGGGCACGCTTTACCAAAAACATTCAAGCGACGCATTGGCATCAAGGACGATTGAGCACCTTTTCAACGAGGGTTCTTGCTGCATCTGCAACAAGAAAACACTGTGTTTCCGTGGCCCTAGTCGTGTCAAAGCGTTCTACCCCACTTCGGATTCTTGGGATTCTTGTTTGTTCTCAGAATATGTATGCCATTGTGCATCGACAGTTAATTCCTTTGGATTCCTTTTCTCTTTCCCTTGATCTCTTTCCGGATCCCTTCCTGTCAGTTCGAGGATGTCTGGCCACAACCATCTGGGTCCGGGTTTGGGTCCGGGATGCTCCGGGGCCGCCGCTTCCTAATCCAACCCATTCCGAACTCATGTCCTGCGAGACATCTGCAATGCACGCGTGAAGATGGGTGCTGTCCATGCCTGCCGAACCCAAGGCCTCGGAACATGTGGAGCCACAGACGAATATGCTGTTGCAAACCGATAAGTGATTTACATTGAATTATGCCATACCGTTGTGATACTCGTGAAAACACGGGAAAGGAGTTGCAGAAATATTGGGTTTTTTGACTTCGAGCCATACCTATATAATACATGCATCATGTATGTAAGATATACATATGAATCACATGTACAGTATGTATGTATAATACAGATAGATAGGATATAATAGGTGTGCTAAGGTAAGGAAAGATTGGATCGATAGAAGGTAGATTCAAAAAAACACTCGGACCAATAAGTGAGATTCATGACAGGATAGAAACCATGGGGAATATAGATGAGATGAGATGAAATTGTGGAAGGTAGCAAAGAAGCGCACAACCCTTGTTTTCTCGGGCCATGTAGAGCTTGCAAATCTCAAGTCTAAACTGCTGTGCAACAGGTGACATGCTGGGAACTCTCTGCAGGGCAACGGCGTTACACCTTGCCTTTTCTGCGTTGAGCTCCTTCGAGTCTCAAAAAAGAAATACTGCCGGTGTGCGTCATCGAACTCATCGTGCATAGGAGAAGAAGAACTCTTATAGTGCAAGTGCCCCAAAAACGGACATCGCACGTTGACTGGGAGCCAACAGACTCTCACCACCACACTGCCGCGACAAACAGCCCATGAAGGAGCTGCAGTCCACAACTCAAGGCAAACTATGATTCTGTTGCGGGATAACACTCTGGCAAGGCACCATCCACCGGAGGATATCATCACCATCAAGATAACCCCCTTGTACCCAGCCAAAGCGGGCTGACACTTCCAATCGAGGACGATCGGGCATGGCAACTGGACCATCACAAAAAAAGACAATCCCAGACCACATGCTCCCAGGCGCCCAATTCTTTGCATCCAGGCCAACAACACATCTTATATAGTCTTACCTGTGCGATCGTGCGAGCTTCGGCGAGACCACCAATCCAATTTCGCACCTTTTGCCAGTCAATGGTATTCAGGGCCTTCAAGGAAAGTAGCTCAGCAACGAGGCACGCATCTCGACGGTCCCCTTGACCATGCTGCTCATGCCGCCATCCACCCCGCAACTTGTGCTGGAGGACACCGATCGCAAACGGAACATCTTCCAAAGACAAGACATCAAGCAACCCATGCTCCCAAACCAGCGGTCTGATGACCTTCCGCTGACGACTGATCATCCACTTCAGTGAAGGTGTGAAGTGGATGCCCGGGCAGTGAAGGCCAAACCAAGTCGCAAGCCAAACACCTGGCTGCACACGCAACATCAGGATGGCAATTGCCACCCCACAAGACACCACGCAACCAAGAAGACGCAGCATGCATGCGACGCGAACCACGACTGACAGCAGACCAAATAGTCTTACAACAAACCCAAGTAGGCATGCGAGTCAACCACCCACAAGACAACTTGCGAACGGCGAACATGCGAACAGCATCCATGAAGCGATGGAACGGAAAGCCATTGCAAGCCAACAACCGAATGATTTTCAAACAAGCAGCAATCTGAGCTTTCTCCTTGTCGGAGTCCCCACGAGTGGCAGACGACCCGACCGTGACACCCAACAAGGTAGCTTGAGAAACCGTGAAGCGTTGAGTCAAGTGACGAAAACAAGCAGTGCCCTTGGCAATCGCAACAGCTTTGTCCATATTTTCACGTAAACCAACAGCAAGAGCCCTGTCAGACCAACTAGTCAAAGCGATAGCCAAGACAGCAGGATCACGCGACACTAACGTTCTGTCGTCGATGTAAATCCTAGTGAAAGGATTTCCGATTGCCTTCCCACCTCGTAAAGGAATTGGAATGACAAACAGTGCCGCTGAGCCCCGCCAAAATGACCATGATATCTGCTTCCTGGGGACACTCATTGAAATACAGAAAAAATCACCACAGATGATCCAAGGCTGCCTAAAAGAATCTCAGCACCATAAAGACCGAGCTTCGTAGGCGCATTGGGTACCGGTGGACTGTAGGCACTACAGATTTCACAAGCAAAGCAACACCACCACGCGGCACCACGGTCACATACGAACGGTACCCCAAGCGACGGGCATAAGTACGCAACGCCAGAACATCAGCGGGAGAGCCACCGAACTCTTAAACGCACAGAACGACAACCGGTTTGGAACACAACCATTCATCCACAGCACGCCGCGCACCCGGACATCCACCAGAGATGATGGAAATAACACCAAGAGAACACCCACGAGGACCAGGGTGACTCTCGATATCTCCATCCTTACACAACTGCCCCTTGGGAAACCAGCGGCTGGCACCAGAACATTTCCAAGCATTGCAAAGGGCTTTCCTCACACCAGGATTTCTGGTCAAAGAAAACCATTTGTCACGCGTTCGACGCGTGATCTTCCTACTGCATCCTCGGCAAGAACCATAGGAAGGAACTGCTTTGTAGAAAATACACCACTTTTTGCAAGTAATCAACTTAGTGCCAGGTTTGTTCGTTTGATTAAAACTTGTCCATTTCACAGTGATTTCCTGCCAGTCATGACCCTTAGAGTCAAAGTCAGCATGATTTTCACGCTTTTGACCTGAGACAAACCTAGCATCAGCTTCAGACGCAGAAACTCTCCAAGCCGCCCGCAAAGCAGCACCATTCACATTATCCCGATGCTTTTGCCACATGGCAGCTTGAAGGCCGGTGGGTTTACCACTTGACCCCTTACAACGGGTTTTACCCTTGTAGCTACCTCGACCAATCACCCAACACTTTTTACGGGTAATCAAAGTGATACCTTTCTGGGCTATGCCAGAAGAGCGTGGCCATTCAAACCAGTTGATATCAGGGACTTCAACAAAATGATGCCCCAACTTATAAAGATCGGGCTTTGTATGATACTGAGCTAAGTGGCACTCTGCTTTTTGCATTGTGCCGGGAAACGAGGAACTGAATCAGGATTCTTTTTCCACTTTTTGGTCAGGCCCTTCGCGGCATGAGATCCATCTCGCTTCCTTTCAGGATGCGCAGATGTCACTTGTGCATTCCTAGATTCGTCCAACTGGTAGCGAGGCAACTCAGGAAGCCCCACATCACAGTGAGGACACGTCCAAGCACGAAGAGACTAAGCAAGATCAACAGAAGGCGTAATCACTTCAACAAGTTGACGCGACCAGCCTGCTGGTGCATGCCCTTGTGCAGATTGCTCACATGCCAAGCACGCCTCTTGCTAACTTTAGTCAGACCGCAATCTGTCAAACCCAAGCCACACACGCACACACCACAAGTCCAAGAATGGCCAACAGATTGTACAATAAAGGATCAGCAGGTCCGCCGCCGAACCCAAATCAGCAGCGACCGCAGAGGATGGAACACACGGGGCCCGCCCAGCACCACGCGAGCTCTTAGAACTTGCTGGTGTGTTAGCAGGCATCCAAAAAGGAGTACAAGCTGGGAAAGCGGGCTTCGGGGAAGGCCCAGACCCACGCAACCCAAACTGGTTGCACTCCCGTAGGTCATCATCCTCTTCCCGAAACAGCAACCAATCCAACAGCATAGAGTCACGACCACAGGCGGGCACCAAAACATAATGTTGTTATCGGCATCATAGCCAAGCACAACCGGAAATTCCTCTTTACTGGACTTTCCCATGATGATTGGATTGCCCCAAGATCCGCTGCGACCCTTTTGCAAAACAACAATACGGATGTATCCAAACGCCGAGCACCAGCACGCATCGACAGCTGACAAATCCAACGTTTAGGTCTTGTGAGAGACTCAAGCCACTCGTCCCAACTCTTGGGAGATATGCCATCATCTTTCTCTGGCGAACCCATCCAATCAGACGCACAAAAAGGTCTGTAAACACCAGGATGTCTTTGGATGTGATCCGCAATTTGGACCCGCAAGGTAGTTTCCATTTTTTTGAACCCATCTTTTTTGACATCCTCAAGTTTGTTGCCACGCATCAACCGATAACCAACAGCCAAAGCCGAGTAGCCACAACTGCCATGCCCCCCAGTATCAAGCTCAGAGAACTCAACATTGAAGGCCTTCTTAGTCCCAGGGGAGACGTTTAGAAGTCGCACGCCCAGCAGGCGACGCTTCTCTTTTTTGGGATCCCACACCCTCATCACCTTCTTCATCCATTTGCGTGCCACCAACCTCACCAGCAGGCTGTGAGGCAGCAAGACTCGCAACCTGAGTTTCATCCGGAGCCAGGCCACCCTGCACAACCCAAGCCGGCGCATTGCTCAACCGATTAATTAACCGAAGCCTCCTTAGGTTTCCTTTGAACGGCACGCTGCAACATGATCACAGAGTCACCAACCTTCACAGCACCAAAAGCCCCCGAAACAGACTCAGGAGGTGTAGCTCTGATCAACCATGGTTGTTTGCCAGGCGCAACAACTTCACGAGTCAAGCAACTGGCCTGAGCCAAAACACAACAAAGATCCTCCGAAGACCACTGCTCAGGAACGCCACATGCCCTTGGCTTGCACAGCAGCACCAATGTTCAACCGAGAACCCAAGAAACTGCCGCCGCCAACACGAAAAGCCAAGGAACAACCGTTGCTCACAGCCTCCTTAAGCACCTCAACATGGTAAGCAATCGACCTTCTTTCTCCCTTTTCATGCCAAATCACGTTCGGCCTCGCCTTTGATCCTTGGCCAACTTATATATATCAACAAAAACAACGCTTTTGCCAGAAAGCAGCAAGAATTTGTCAACCAAAGTCACCTCGACCTTGATGTAACCGGTCAAGAACCTTTCATCAACACCATTGAAATTCTTGACCACATTCTCAGACCAACCATGAGAACTATGAATGCTCAGCGAACCCTTCGAAGAATCCAACATCGACACCGGGTGAGCTTTCATGCTCTTCCATCGTTCTTCAGAAAGAAGTTCCTTAGGAACCATGATTCGAAGAGGATGCAAATCCCGCCGAGCAGGCTCGTTTTTCACTTCTTGGACAATTCCCTTAGGGGCACAAATCTCAAGCCACAACAGCGAAAAATCAA